AGCAAGGGCGCTACTAGGGGCTCCTGGCCTTACCACTAGGAGCAAGGACGCTACTAGGAGCAAAGGGAATTCCACATGTGAGCAACACCTGCTCCTCGGCAAAGGTCATTGTGCACAATGTTTCCCTCATCGTTCATTCGGTGTCCAAAATCAACACAGCACCACGGTCTCCCATGTACGACTTGTGGCATTCCAAGCTTTAAAGACCTTTACATCCTTTTACCAAACTAGAGGGCACTCCCCTCCGCCCTACCAGGCCACCGTCTTCTTCACACCTCTAAAGCCTCGCCGGGCAGCCAGGACTTCCATGGACTGCGCCAAAGCATCGGCCACGTGGGCCGAAAGCCTCGCCGTCTGTTCTTCTACGAAGGCCACCACCTCGGAGAACTCACACCGACCGAGCAGGGCGCTCATCACGTTTGTGCGAACGGAGGCTGCAAGAGTGCGTGCAAACCGCACGAAAGGTGGACAACGAAGAAAGTATGGTCCAGTTTGAGACCCCACCTCTATGACCAACCAAAGACAGAGTTGAGGTTAAACATGGCCGATGTTAGGCCGATGGCAGAGAAATAAAGAGGGACGACCTGGCCTCCTTAGTCTCCACAATCCGGCCAAGGAACTGAACGCTCATTGTCTGCCTCCTAGCAGGGTTCTCACAAATCAAAGGTCCTATGAGAGTCTTATGATTTACAGGTTGTCTTCCAGTTTGCAGGACGTTTTCGTCAAAGGCACTCGAAGTGCAATGAGGAATCTTCTTGCCAAAAGTTTACCCCAAAGAAACTCTTTTGAGATTCCAGTACAAACACTGATTCCGGTTCCAAACAACATCTGAATCCGGCCTCTTCCTGTGCAGTGCGGTGAAATTCGGCACGAGCTTCTTCCTCCTCCCTCACCTCTCACAAACCATCAATGCTCTCAAAGGCTGGTCGTGAATTGAGCTCCTTTTGATGACTTCAGAACATAGCAGCATAGCGTCCCCAACCATCTCGGCAAATATCATGGATCACAACGACATGTTACACTCCCACAGACCCCAAACTAGACATCTGTGACAACAGAGAATCAATATCCCGCATCGATATGATTTTAAGCACGTCAATGTGAAATAGTGCTGCTTATCTATCGATCTTCGTTCGACATTTTGGGGCAATGTTCTCATTGCTGCTTCATACCAGAGGCTGCAAGAGAAGCTGCAATGACAACTACGGGGAATAAAAATAACAATTAACAATTGAGACTCACATGAGACAAACAAAAAGGAACACCAAAACCAAATCATCGTCCTGAAGAAAAAAACACACACACAAAAAAAAAAAAGACAGGACGCCTCGCCTCACGAGAGCGAAACGATCCGCGGCACGGCACGCGGCGTGGTTTCCACAGTTGTCGTCTGACTGATGGAAGAGGTGGACAGCAGACTGAGACACACATCTGAATGCATGAGTGCGCACAAAGAAAGAAGAATCCTTCCAAAGGAGATATATAACATCATAGTTTAGACAAGGTCTGAAGGACGTGTTCGGTCAGCAAATGCGTACTGTCAGCCAATGAGGGCTGAGTAAGAACGAGACAGCACGCTAGTCCACCTATTTGTGGGGTCAAAGCGACCTCCCAAACCAACCATTGAGCGACAAATCTCGGGCCTCTTGCTGCGCAGTGCGATGAAATTCGGCCAGAGCTTCTTCGTCGTCCCGCACCTCTTCGTCTCCGGCCAGGAACGGTTGTGGGAGCAGCTCAAAGAGTGAAACGATGAGTTGAGCAACTGACGCTGCCGGCTCAAATATACTATACCGACTATACCCGACTGATAGACATGATACTGTAAGGCTGGTTTCAAGTTGTTGAAGCACTTATCCTTCTGAGAGTGTTCTTGTCTCTCCGAGAAGTGCCTCCCTCGCTGAAGTGCCCCAACATCATGAACGTGACGCCTGTGACATCATGAAGGCAGGCCGACTGTCAAAGTAGTGCACCACGTCAAAGGCAAAAAAGAGGCCGTTCCGAATCTTCCGCGTCATGGCCTCGCTACAAGTATGGGTCAAACATCCTTGCTGTGAATCAGTGAAGACTAAAGAGAAGAAACCTTAGAGTCCCTTCACCTAACAGGAGTACAACCTGCAAAGCCGACTAGACTCGAACGGCTGCACCAAATCCTTCCAGAAATCGCTCCGACTCGGAAAAAGACACAGCTATCCGGATAGTCTTCGCATTTCTCGGCACGAGACAACAGGTGAGCTTTGACTCCAAAGCGACACAAAGACAATCAAAGACACATAGCCTCCGCCCTACTCCACACAGCCTCCGCACACCCTCCCTCTTGCTCTGGTTCTGCAGCTAAAGCACCTCCATTCCACTGAGCAACTGATGTGCATCGTTGACCTGGAAGGGAGGCTCCAGCTCCTAGAGCGCGACTTTCGGAAAGGGGCGAGACCGGAAGCGAAGCTCCAGGCGGACAAGGCTTTTGCGCCGGCCAAAAAGGAGCAGGTATACCAGGTAAGCAGGTTCTTTTGCTCTTCTGTTTCACAATATGTCACCCGGTGTGAAAGCAAAGGACAAAATGGACGAAAATAACAGAGCAGCAGCTGATGGATGACATTCAATGCAACAAAACGTGTGATTTGATCTCCTTGAGGTGCTCCATCCAGGAGTTGACGAGGGTCCTGCACCCACTCTGTGCTTGGCCCACCAAGTGGACAGAACTGACAGAACCCACAAAAAATCCCATGGATCCAAGTTGGGTCAGAATCTGGATCCCCTCAATCAGCAAAGTAGATAACTAGTTATTAGTTGGTAGTCTTAAGGTGATCTTGGTCAATTGACTAGTTATTAGTTGGTCTCTGAAAGTCTCCGACAGCTCATCGTTTAATGAAGTGTGCACCAAGTGTTTAATCATGCTTACATAACCACTACCTTGACCTTTCAAGTTACTTGGAGGAGGCCTACTTGAGGAAAGGAATTGGTGAGAGGAGTTGGTGGAAGTCAGAGACACATGTATCAATTGTTCTATTTCATCCAAAGGTGAGTCAACATCAAAGACTGGGAGATCTTCCGGCGCGCCTCTCGGCTTGAGATGAAGGGATCCCCGGCACCATGTCCATCAGAAAACTTGGAGAAATTAAGCGCCCACTCTGACACATCGCCTGAAAGAAGGCTGTTCGCGGCTCCATCGGAAAGACCGGGACCCAGATCATTTCAAGTTCTGGAGGGACATGAGATTGTGATATCCAAGTGTGTGCATCTTTCACTTCCTGTGCGGTTGCATGCAAAAATGCCAAGAACGCTCGGAATCTGTAGTGACTGTAGTGCAGCATATCCACCGTTTTCGGCCAATGGACAAACATACAGAACGCATTCGTACGATCCAAGCAATCAGTACCTAAACTGTGCATGCATGCACCACTTCTAGGATGGACTGCAAAGAGTCAAACCCACCCACCAAACTCCCGCGACCTTGCGATTGTAGGCTGCATCCTCCACGAACGTTGCCCAGATCTCGTCCAGCTTCACTCGCTCCTGCCAACACCAATGAAGCTTTAACCAATAAAGCAATAACTCTTCAACCAAAGCTTCAAACCTGAGCAATCCCACCAAATCAGCGATGTTCAGAGAGGCTCGAACTCTTCAGCCTCCTACTTCTACTCAGCGACGCACCAGCTGCTGGGTCGTCGCTCAAAACACGCCAATCCCGACTCGATCATGGACATGGACCTTCGCCAATCCCCACCAGTCTTCCCCAAAAACGTTCGGGTCAGATTGACCGCTCCTTCCGACGGCTCATGCGCCAGCGGCGCCACATCTGGCTCATCTGGTAGGGCAGTGACTCCAAGGACTGCGCACGCTTCCTCAGGGTGATCCATTTTGCATCCATATCGAAGAATCAAAAGGAAAACAAGGGAAAAGCCAAGCTGTCGGGTCAAGAGCAGTCTTCACTTTGGATGTCTTTTGTTCGGAATGGCCACTTGCCATCACAACATGTAGTCGATCAAACGAAATGGTGCCCAACCTACCAAATGGGTAACGATTCACCGAATGTCAGAGCAGCCCAAGCTCAAAATAAGTCAGTGTGTGTGTGTGTGCTGCAAGGCAATGCCGTGAGAGGCACACCATTTGACACCAAGTGGTAAATGAAAAGAAGCTTCCAGATCCGTGCCATCACAGGCCACTGGCTTCCCCGACAGGTCACTTCACTATCATGTAGTTGTCCATGATGATGGCCAAGAGCATATTCAAAAGAATAATGACCAGCAGCACCTGAGATCAATTCGAACCAACTGCCGCATCGATTCACGGTGAGCGGGCAGCAACTGCTTCCTGCAGCCATGGGAACTGTAAAGATGGTAAACCAGGCATAGGCGGTGAAGCGAGACACCTGAGCTCGTGTTCTCTCATCGGTTGATGAGAAGGGTTGGAACTCTTTCAAATCGGCTGTGAGGGTTGAAGTGCAGCCCCGACTTTTCGAAGTGCCGCATGTGGTGAGGGAATCACATGAGGAGAAGGGAATCTTGGTTCACCGATTCGACACTGAACTCTTTCGCATTAGACTTCACATCTTCTCGCCTTCTCCAGCTTTTGGAAGGCCTCCTCATCCTCCGAGAAGATGATCCTCATCCAAGCGCGTCTCAACCACCCCCAGCACCCGTGCACCAAATCATACCAAACTCCTGAGACATGCCAAACGTGTGCATGGCTCCTGAAGGCAAAATGAAAGGCGCGCCAGAAGTTGCCAAGATCCTGCAGGTTGATTGTCAACCAGGGTGACCCAAGCCCCCGACCGGGCTTGGGTTCAAAAGTTTAAGAACCTCTTTTATGAAGGCCGCTCTCCCCCCTACCTAATAGCGATGGCCTCCAGAAGCGAGGAGAACATGCTCTTACATACACAGTGTCGCACCCAAACTTGGGGCCTTGAACTGTCTGGGATTCGTCACGATCCATCTCTTTCGTTCGGACTCCGAAACCACTTCACCATGTCTGGCAGCACTAGCAGATGCCAGCCTCAATGTCCCGGCCAAAGAGCAGGACAGCATCCAGGCAAAGGCAAACCACCATCGCTGACAGTGCCAAGCTGAAGTGGAGCATATCCTGCCCGAGTGGAGCCTATGCGATCCGCCACACGTGGGGCCCAGACCATCGGTGTAACGAGCTTCAGGATTGTAAAGAATGATCCTCTCACAACCAAATTCCGTTCCAAAGTACCTCATAGAACAACTGGAAATAGAAAGACTACAACCTAATAGCGAGACAAACAAAACATGTTCTGCCTCCCAACCACAATATATCTTCCTCTCTCCTCCCACCTTCCCCTCTTCAGTCCTGCGAGGCTTCTCTTAAGGTCTCAGTGATGACTGCTAGGCGTGGTTGAGCATCGAAGGACTTCAGCAACCGGAGGATCAACCTCTGCAAGGCTACTAGTGTTGGCCGTGGCAGCTCGCACTTGCACTTGGCATGTCAGATCTGGGAAGACCTGTGGCTCCATTGGTAAAACTCATCAACTGCCAGTGGTTTCTGAGTGTTCCTCTCTGAGACCAGGGATCAGCGCACATCGGTGTGACGTGTGAATCGGTGCCTTCTCAGCACACATGTATTGGCGACTGAGTGAGCCACGCATGGAGTTTAGACGACTGCAACCACATGAAAAGAGGGGCGCAGCTGTCCTGTCACATGCGGTCACCATCATCCTCCCTGTCCGGACCACTCGAAGAGGTCCTAGTTGTTGCCTAGCGGCATCAGCGGATATGCAGACAGCATGAGGCGGTAGGTGGACTCCTGCGAACAGGTCAACTCACACGTCAACTCACACCGAGTGGGTCGGCAGGTCCCTTTTGCGGGTGTGTCGGGTGGATCTGCCCCATGGGCCCACCCCGCAGTGGACCGTCCTGACTGTATGTCGCCTCATATTCGGCAAAGAAGTTCTTCACCTCAATGGGGGCCCACGGCTCGGCTCAGCTCGCAAGTGCCCGCTGGTGCTGGAGGAGGGAGAACCGCGGCGGTGTTCTTTCAGCACAAAGGAGGTGAAGGCTAGCAGAATCCCCTGAAATGTGCCCATTCAGAAGCAGTTTGAAGGACACTCATCTCCCTGCGCTCTCTCTGAGAAAAACAAATGCCTGCCCACTTCCATACTCCATGGATCACCCAGCTGCATCGGCAGTCGTCCCAGCCAAGGCGCTAGTTCCATGTAGGCCTGGCCGGGTGTTCCCTTTCCCAACACCTTCCCCAACCCGATCCTTCATGGCATTTGTCAGCATGGCCCAAATGGCCGGTCGTCTCAGAAAGGGTCAATCTCAGGTCATCCATCATCTGCTCGGGGGCTCTGGGTCAAAGAGACCTTGGTTGACCACCAGACTACAAGGGAGGTCAGCCTACCAGGGATTAGGACTTTGGTTTGACACGCGCAGCCATGTCTGCCTACCAAATGTTGGGCCAATGTTGGGCATCTACTTGTGACCAACGCCACTAGTTTGCTTCTGCTCATCGCCTGCAGGCTTGTCTGTCAGCTACAGATGTCAAAGCCTCCCGCTCTACGCTCAGACCAACCCTGGCTTACGCTGCTGACGCTGCTCGTGCCTCACGTCCATTACCAGCTCCCAGAAGCAAGTCTCTCAGAGTCGCCTCAGGTTTGATGATCAGTAGAAGCTTCTTGCTACTAGTAGTAAGGCACCTTGCTACTAGTAGCGTCCTTGCTGCTAGTAGCGATGCACCTTGCTCCTAGTAGCTTCTTGCTAGTCCTTGGAAGGAAAAGAAGAGCGACTGCAAAGAGGGAACAAGATCCAAGAGGTGATCCATTAACATTGCGAACCTACCTGCAAGGAGCATATGGCTGAAGAGGGGCAAAGTGCACTTCCATGACTTAAGCGGGAACTTTGAGAAAGCATGAGAAAGCACGATGTACTAGAATGATTGGATCACATCCCTTCACATGGGACTGCAAAGGGACTAGCACAGCTGACAACAACTCCCAAGCAGCCCTCTGACAAAAGCAACTGGTGGGACCAAAAGCAAGCCAGCTCATCGAGAACATCTCGCAACCTGACGCCGCTGATCTACCCTGAGAACTCAAGCACGAACGCTATGATCGTGCGCACCATAAAGCAAGCGAGTCATACAAAGAGGCCAGGAATCAACTGGGCCATCATGCCCTAGGCCCTAGCCACCCTAGCCACCCTAGCCGCCCTAGCCATCCACAAAAAAGATGACCCCACGATTTGGATTCTCTCAAAAATGAAGCACAAGTCTTTTCGCCTACGAGCCCCGCAGCATGGTCCTTGGCCCATCTCATAGATTGACCTCCCTATGACTGCATGGGGAAAAAGGGGAGTCAACCCGGTCAACCACCTGGCAGCTGAAGCAGCTGAAGCATTGGGTGTGCTGTCTTTCCTTCTGCCGAAGGTCCTGCAGCTGGGCAGTCTGTATGGCAAGCGCAACGAAGATCGCTGCCACGACCTGAAAAATGAAATTGAGACGAAGTGAGCAGGGAAAACGGTTGTAGATAAAACCCTGAGATCAAGTTTAATCCACAAGCAACACTATAGGCTTCTCTTGAGACCAGTGAAACTCCTCAAGCAAGCTTGCATAAATGTAGATTTAGGTGAACAATCTCTGGAGTCTCTTAGGAACATGAAGCCAATCCGACCCTGTACTGGTAAGCCCCATGCGGTAGCAATGATGAAGGAGATCCAATCAACGGCATTGGAAAAGCCGATGTACTCCTGGAAAATGTTTAAACAAAAAAGACTCTCCCGGTCTCCCACCAACTTGCTCCCTGAATGCACAGGTCAAAGTTTAACACACCAAGTCGCCACCACAACGAGTTCGTTCAAAACACACTGAGGGATTTTGGCGACCTGGGAGAGTATATATAGATGCTTGCCTTGTCATGGATGAGTGTCCAAACTCACTGATGCCTCCTGGCCCTTCTCACCAAAGCCACTTTGGCTATTGATCATGAAGTCATGGATGAAACATATGATTTGATGATGATTCTCCAAAACAAATATATAAAGTTATATATATATATATATGCAGTATAAATATATAATCACCAGTTTGGTATGTCTCAGTTCTTCGTCAAATCCATTTCAGCTCATGTGCTCCGAATTCCCGTCCTCCAAAATCGCGCGGTACCACGAGGTGTCGGCGTTCCTCACGATTTGACCAATCTCCCGGACCTGCCGCAACCGGTGAAGCTCAACACGTGTTTGCTGTGTGAAGAGACGACTTGGGAGTTGAGACGACATGTGTTCGCTGTCGGAGACGTTTGCATGTCACCTGCAAGTTGATCAATCCCAAATCAAAAAAGAAGCGACGTGAGGTGGGCTCATGGTAGGTTGAGAAAAAAGAACGCTTCCAAAGAACGTTGAGTGCAAAGAAGGGTTTTTCTCGGATTTCGGACCCAACCGGGCGAGTGAGATGGGTCTCACTCTTCGTTCTTCAGCCTCGGCGATGAAGACCCACAGCAAAAGCACTGCCCAAATCAAGGAGAAAGCACTGGCCAGAGTGTTCTCTGCCTCAGGTGAGCAGATTGGTTAGTTCTGGCGTCTAGACATGAATTAGGCAAATCAGGCAAATCTCATCTCGCCCTCCCTGTCAATTCGAGAGTTTTATCCTCCAGTCAGATCTACTGATCTACCCAACTCTTTGCGCGGCTTATCCTGGTCTGAGACGGTCTCCCATCCTCGGCTGAGTCACCACGGGTTGTGCCGAATTCACGAAGACGGAGGTGAGCTCCAAGCGCTTGTGGAAGCGCCCTCCACGGAGAAACCAGAAATGAACACCTCACACCCGTGATGGCATCGGGAGGTCCGGCACCCCGGGTAAGAGAGAGAGAGAGAGAGAGTGAGTGAGTCTGCTTTCGCCGACTTCAGGCGGTATTTGTTCTGTCCTCTTCGGAAGAGCCAAAATCAACCAGCAACGCAGCAATGAGGTGAACCGTGGCATCTCAAACCACGCAGCTGCTTTGATTCCAATGTCCAAAGAACCTTTCAGACAAGCCAGTCTCAGTCACCGGGTCAGTCGTCAGCCTGTATATGTCAGCAGCCCATAATGCGCATTGTAGGTGATCATGGACACCTCACGGGCTGACAAAGGTGAACAGAGTCAGAGGTGGACATGGCATCCATGCTTAGCTTTGCCTGCCCAATAAGTCCGTCACAACCAGCCCAATGCCCTGATTTCCTCACAGAAAGCTCCGGACTGTTCCCTTCGAATCGACCCGAAAATGGGGACGGTCCCGAAAATGGGTGTGGATGTGTCCAAAGGAAACGCTTGGCCGCCCACACGTTGCCTTCTAAGTGCCTGTGTTTAGGGAGAAGCAAACAAGTTTAGCTTCAACGAATCCGCCATTTGTGAAGAATACCCTTCATATGGCCGCTTCCAAGCCATGTTCCTTTCGAAAGCCATGTCCAACATAACCTTGAAAGAGGGAGAATTTAGAAATGGACTTGCCATCTTCCAACATCCGTGTCCATCCCTGTTCATCCGTATCCATCCATCCCCACACAATGAGGGATGCTTTGAGAACTCGCCTCCAAGCGTTGCACATCTTCGCGAATCCAAGGCCACTGATCGCAGGACTGGCAATAGCAGACCTAAACACTGCGCATGGCACATCGCTTCAAAAAATCGAAATGTTCGGAGGGTTAACAGCTAAAAAGCTGAACCAAAGATCATCCAAAGCTTTTAGTCCACCAGAAACCAGGGCCTTTGTGTGCACCAATAAAGACGGAGGCCATCGCCAGGTGCTTTACTGTAACGGTCCAGTACACCCCAAGAAATGACCTGCTAATCATATCAAAGTATCCAAAGGCTTGACTAGTGACAAATCATGATTTCTAGAATCTAACGTATTGATTGAGCTGTACAAGTGGTCTTAGTGGCCTCCTGTTCACTGAATTTCACTTGGAGTTGTCAGAGGCCAATGCCCTGAGCGCACTGTCACGTGGCCTACAACATTACCATACGTGATTTACTACAAAATTACTCGATGCACAATGTGCAGGTTCGTGAAAAAACTCTTCCAACATCATGTTAGTTCGTACAGCCCAGGCACGCTTCTATTCTTGGCAGCAAGCTGAGAGCAGCCATCCTCAGCTGAAAAAGGAGTCGATGGAGTTGTCTCAAAAGATTCCAGGACAACCAATCTCTGGTGACAGGAATCTTTTCGAAGGAGCTCTAGTCAAGAATATTGGCTTCCAAGTTGCTTGTAACATGGGAGAAAATGGTGTGTGATCAAAAGGCCGCAAGAGCTCGAGCTCGAAATGTTAAACAGTGAAAGTGCGATCCATCCAACTGACCATGTCTCAGGAGCTTTTGTTGGCTACAATATCCAACTCACAAGGCTGTAGGATCAAAGTGGCACTCTCGACAACCACGATGCATTACACCTTTCGTCTGCACATCCCAAAGCTGCCAAGGTTCCTCCATATCCAGTGCCTCAACAAAGATTCATCAATGCTTGGCTTGATCAAATTGTCAAAACAAGAGATACGGTCAAGAAGGTCAGGAAGAAAAACAAGTACAGTATATAGTTACTCAGTGCACTCTCCGGTTCAGAAACACATACTCCATTAGCAGCACTAGCATGCAACATGCTCTCCTTCCGTTGTCAAAGACCTGTTTTTACCAGGCCCTTGGCTGCGACCGCGCAGGCCTGCTCCACGATCCGTTCAAAGGAATCAAGGGCTGGGAGCATCCATTCCAGTTTCGTGGGATCGTTGAAGACCTGCGGGATCGTTCCAGCCGGGCTCTTTCGCGAGAGATAAGGTGACTAAAGCAAGGAACAGTGTGTTCCAAAAAAGAGAGAACGAAGCATCATAAAGATTCATAACGATATCTTTCCTTGGGAATAGTAAGATAGTTCCCCAAATATGTTCTTGTTCCCCCACTGCTTTGAACATCTTTGCCAAGCTCGTGTTGTTGTCTATGTTTTTTGCCTCTGCATCAGCAAGCTCCGGTGGGTAGGCGATCTCCTGAACGTTGGGCATACACGATTTTCCATACCACCTGGCGACAGCGGAGGCATGTGGTTTTGGAGCCATTTGGTGATAGGAACCTTATCTGCCGAAAGAAAGGTTTATCTGCTGAGTAGACAAGCACATGTGCTTCTGGTTTGGGGATACCCATGGATTCAAGCAATATGCAGGTAGTCTTAATGTTCATCTGTATGTTTGATCCTATCCAGTAAGAGCTTCCTGCGCCAGTGAAGGAAGCGGTCACAAAACCAAAATACATCAAAATACCATGATACACTAACATCTCACAACATCCAGGATAGTCACCCATTCAATCTCTTCCATCTCTGCATGTCAGCATGTCTCTCTTTCTTCCTTCACCTCCTTCTCGCTCTTCGTTCATCTCGTCTCCCAAAGCACCTGCTCCAGCTCCGCCTCCGATCCCCGGGCTTCCGGACCTCTCAAAGGCTCCTCGGTTGCTCGAGGGGAATTTGCAGCTGCCCATGGAGCTGGATGCCGCGACTTGCTGCCGGAAACGCAGGCCACCTCAGTCACTGGGTGGCGTGTGACTTCTTCTCACAGTGAAAGGGGATCGCTTTACAAATGGAGGGAGCGCCCTGATGTGCTCACTGGAATCGTAGGCAAGGAACCAACGACGCGGTTGAAGTGAAGGTACTCCGCGGCAGTGGGCACTGGCTTGCTGCCACCTGTCGAATGGAAAAACAATGGGACTTGTAAATCTGCCACCGGCATTGAACCTGCCCCGCTCTCATCCGAGGCACTTCCCAAAGCATTGAGCTGCCAGGTTGCATTTGGTTCCTCAGATGCCACGAGCCAAAACAATAGCGATGGCTCGCTATTTTGCAATGGCCAAACCCGGACGAAACAAGTTTCACCAGCCAAGCGCAGGGGAGTGGATCTGAACACATCCCACTCTGGAAGGTCCAAGCTTCTCTGACCGCATTGAGGTCAAAAACGCTGGCCACATCTTGGGGGCGCCTCTCTGAGTAAGTCCAGGCCTCGTCGGGCAAACGCGGGTCGTTGGCGCAAGCAACCGCAAGTCGCAGGTGCATGCAGGAGTTTTTCACGCTGCAACGTTCCACTTCAATGTTCCATAGGGTCGAATCTGCTAGACTTGAATGACTGACATCTAGGCGAGTTTCAAACGAAGGAGAAACCCGCGGCCAGACAAAGAAACAATTCACCAAGAACAATGGGTTGGGGAACCCGGGGAACCCTCCACACGCATGCATCCCAGGCACTGGTTGGAAAACGGCTGGAAGAAAGCCCAGTCGCAGCCAGGACCAAAAGTCAGCATAGCTATGTACATCTTCGAAGTTCTGCAAATCAGGAAACGCAAACTCTACACACGTTGATGCATACATCATTGCTGGCACTTCTATGTCTGCTTCTCGGAAAGCAAGCGAGAGGTGACATCACAGCCTTGTGCCCCATATACTCGCTAAAGGCAAAGTTGGCATTGTGAGTGATATCCTGGCCGATCGGCACAAAAAGTCGCTCCAGTCATGAGATTCTCAGCATGTTCTGCAGACTGTTACGCTTTTCTCCAAATAGATAGTTGCACAGTTTTACTTGTGTTCGAAGGAATCACCGTGCGTTCCCAGGCTTTAGGAATATTCTCCAGGTGAGACATGCCCCAGGAATACTCAGAGCCTCTGAGATCGCATGCTCCACTGAGAAGATGGTGTCCTTGCAAGCTGACTGAAGACTTCGAAGAATAAAACATGTCTTCGTGTCTTCGTGGCAATGAAAAGATTGAGAAGTAAGCAGCTAGAAGACACGACACCAGCACGCGTGTCTTCACACCATCCTTCACAGCTCCACAGACACCATTACTGCACTGTCCTGCTTCAGGGAGAAGATCGCGAAGGCGGAGAAGGAGAGCCTCAACAACGGAAAGAGAGAGCCCCTGTGTTTTTCGACCGGGTCGTGGTTCTCCAGCAAGCCGAGAGACAGCAGCAGGATGGTGAAGGGGAGCTCCAAGCAAGCGCTTTCCAGGTCGATCTGGTTCTTTACCCATTTCAAGTAGGCCTTCTGTGGCACTGCAAGCTCCTGAGTTCAGCACCAAAGTGTTCGAACATGTGTCTCGAGCTGAGCTAACCCAAAAAAGAATCGAACTCGGCGGTGTGACGGGGACCATTCGGTGTGCTCATATATTGGTCCCCGGATCATGTCAAGGAATTCGGTTCATTCGACCGAATTGGCGTTCACCCAGGACTCGAAGGCTGAAAAAACGTGAGATCTTAAGCTTGAGATGGATTCCGACTGACCAGGCTTACCCAAAAGGTTCCAATTGTTTCGACATACAGTACATTCTTTGTGCACCCAAAAAGAAAGCTTGGGTAGGTCTCCCACGTTCTGAGACACTGCAATGTACTGCAATGTAAACGGCCAAAGCTCCCCGTGACGAAATCGGAGCTTCTCCATGGCGTGTACTCTCCATGGCGGATCTTCTCGCAGCCGTCTTTGGGCGACACACGGACGGTGACAGGGAGGGCATGGAGAGTTGGAGGATTTGTGTCTCTCTATTTCAACCATTGGAGAAAACAGGCAATAGACCAGGTCCGTAGTGAAGACAATGGAGAGTTCTCCAATGTCTGTCCATTTCAAAAACAGCTCCGGTCCGTTGAGGTACCTCGTTCTCTGGAACTGGGCAACTTGCTGGATCGCTGGATCAGTGAAGAGTCCGGAGCTAGCACCTTCAAATGGCTAAAAGGCACTCGTGTTCAGCCTAGTGTGGCTTGATCATTTGAGCCCAAAGTCATCAGCTGTGGAAGGTGCACCAAACGTGGCCAACTCTGAATGCTTGTCGATGTCGACGATTATCCTTCCCAGCCTTCAGACGTGATTCTTTAGGAAAATTGTGCTTTCATTTGGCCAAGCCCCACTGCAATCGGCCCATCTCCTCTCGTTTGGCTTGAGCTTTTTGGCGCTCCACCTGCAATCGGCCTGGGAAGATCTCTGAAAAGTCAAAAAGTGAGACAGGGGGGCCCACACAGCTACCTGAACTCGCAACAATAACCTGAACATGTGGATTTTTCATGATTTTTCTTGGCCTTGGAGCAGCTTGCCTTTCTCTTTGATCTCCTGCATCTCCTGCGCAAACCCAGAAAAGCTGCGCATGTCTGTAAAGATGCTTCTCGCAGCACAAAGCCCGGGTCTTTTGCCTGCAGGCGCTGCTGTTGTGCTTCCAGAGCGCGGAGCCGTTTCTGTAGCCGCTGTTGGTGCCTCAGCGACATGGTTTATCGGTGTGGCCAAGCCCCGGCTTTCCCTTCCAAGCGCCCTAAAAACTACTGTTGCTTGCTTCGGCTTTCATGCTGGTGGCTTCAATGTAAGAGTATGCAAGCGCGAATGTGCTCTTTCCGAAACGGCCCATGAGAGCCAGATTCGGGGGGGCCTCCTGAAACAACACAAACCATCTCGAGCAAGCCATTTCGCCAGGAGCAAGGACGCTACTAGGGCCTTCCTGGTCTGGTCCAATGGGTCCCGGGCTGGCGCAGCAGGTTCAGCCGATCGCGACGCCACTGGCGGAAGATGGCGGCCTGACCGGTGAAGGGGACCTGGTGACCGGTGAATAGGACTAAAAATGGGGACAATCATGTTGAGCAATTTTCAGGTACCCATCAAGCAGGGTAGGACAAAGTTCTTGAGGTTCCTGGCCCTGTTTTAGAACTTTGTGGATTTCATTGCAACCCGGCAAAGCTCCGACCTAAACTCACGCCTGCCGCTGGCTGGCATACTTCAAGGCATCGCACGTCGCCTCTCCGCTAAAACACATCCAGATGACTGGAGATTGGTGTTTGGCCTGGTAGATACTTGCCACTAGTAGCTACTTAGTCCTAGTAGTAAGGCCAGGAGCGCCTAGTAGCGTTCTTGCTCCTAGTAGCGATGCCCTTTGCTCCTAGTAGCGATGGATGCTTGAACCTTCACTATCTCTTTCCAAGCACTGGTCCTATTTCAGTCCATCTCACATCCAACCTCATGCTGCTGCAACTCTTCTCGCTTCAGGTGCGGGAACCTCCACTTCGCGGAATCGGCACAACCGACATCGTTCCAATCCATCAAGCAATGTCCTCATGGCCTGCGTCATGAACAGAGCCGTTGCTAGTTCCTGACCCCTTCAGAGACCGACACTGCCTCACCATCCCTGTTTTATGGCCCAATGGCGATCCAAGTAGCTCTAGTCGCAGCCGCTCCATAAAGAGATCCCTCCGGTTGGCCTGGGGGTTTAGGGTGCGACGAAGCTTCGGACGGGACTCGCTTTTCTCTTACAAGGCAGGAGAAGAGCAGATCAAGTGCTTTTTAACACATCGTCCGATTGCCCGGAAAAAAGACGCCAAAAGCAAAGGCTGTGAAGCGCACCCTTTTTTGAACCTTAAAGTAGCTCTATCATTTGACCATCAGAGTTCATGTTAATGCCATATGACCAATGCAAAGATCTTCCTGGATAAGTAAAGCCCACTTTGGGCTTCTTGGTCCATGGAGGCATGGTCGTCTCCTTTCTCATCTCCCCTGCTAAGCTCAAAGCCTCAGTCAAGAGACTTCGATCATTGAAAAGCCAGGCTTGAACCACACCATCTTCATCCGGCGCCTCATAAAAATCCTTGTAGCCACTCCCAAAGACTAGTGTCACAGAGTTCTCTGAGTCAGTGATGGTCCCCAGTTTGATGGCATCCGCACGATCCACCACCACAAAGACCTCCAGCGGCTTCGACATCTCCTCCTCCATCCATCTCCGCACGCCTCGCAGGGCCTCCAACATGTCTTCAATGACTTGCAACGGTGGCTCCGTGCCACAGTTCGCCGAAGTCAGCACAATCCGTTCAGCACAGCTCTGAGCCAAAGCCCACGCATACTTCACGCGCTCTTTTCGAGAGACTTCACCATCACAGCCAAAGACAGCTGTTACGGTGGCCTCAGGGTCTTTCAAAGACTCAACCGTCTGCAAGGCCACGGTCATGTCACTTGGGCATGAAACTTCATGCAAAATCCCCAGGTGTGATGTCTTGGCATCACCCTCCTCGCTGCCTTCGCCCGCCCGAGAAACCTCCAGAATCGCGGGTGGCGTTGCGATGGAAGGAAGACACTGCAGGCACCTGCAGGTGGCCTCAAGGCTTGCCTCTTGCTGTATGATGTGCGAGGCAGCACAAAGTGCAGCAGTGACAGCATTGGGGCTACAGGAGCCCAGCCAGGGCATGCACAAGTTCATCCTGTTGATCTTGAGACCGCTTAATATCAGCTCGAGACCTTCCAGATTTGCAAGCGTGAATACTGCATGCAAGTTGGTGCCATCAGCGTCATTTCCTGACAGCAGATCAGGTTCATCCTCTGCTTCCGCGTCAGCAATCGCCTGAAGTGTTTCTAGCAGCTCTTGCTTGGTCTTCGATTTTAAACTTTGGGGCTCATCAAAACCTCGAGAAACCAGTTCCTCAACCAACTTGGCCTTGGTGAGGTCTTTATACTCGGTCTCACTCGCTATTGGAACTTCAAACGAGTAGGTCGCACAGGTGGAGACCGTACTCGAGGGCTTTCGGCAAATCACCTCTGATCCAAGCACATCACGCCCTCCTCCTAAGTCAAGTACCAAATCAAAGTTCACTGGGCTAAAAGCGTTGGTTGATGGAAGTACTTCAGCCACACAAAAGTCCACATCGGCCTCTCTCATTCCAGCCAATATCTCTTCAACTGCACAAACGGTCAGACCCCCGAAAATGCCTAGACTGCGGTGAGCAATCAGTGAGCAACGATCGTTGATCAAGCCTGTTCGGGACGCTCCAGCATGAACTTCCAGCATCTTGAAAAGAAGCCAGGCTGCAGCTCGAATTTCAAGCTCATCTTCACCTACCACCGCAATCTTCCTCATTCCAGTTTGGCCGGAACCGAAATAGGCTCGTGCCAGGGAAACCTGTGGTTCACTTGCCTTTGGCAGTGCAACCACCGCATCGGGTCTTCCACCAGTCGGAGAAGACCAGAGCTTTTCAATGAGCATCTGCTCCTCCCTGTTCGAAGTCAGAAGGACAAGAGCAGACACTCCACGCTCATTAGCATCCTGGAACGCGTTTGAAAGAAGATCTTCATCACATCCATCAACTGAAACCAGAAGCAAATCCCCTGCCATGGCCCTTTCAATCACGTCTACCACACCTGAGATGAGTACTTCACCATCTCCAAGCACTTTGAAGCTGCCCCTGCCAATCGCAGCATCAAGCAGCTCTGAAAATGCAATCCTTCGATTGGCCAGTGGCCAAGAAAGGAAAGGAAAAAGGACACAATTATGTGCTGATATCGACACAAACACATTCTTTTCAGGTTACCTGGGACAAAAGAACTCAAAAAACAAAATAAAAGAAAGCCAGAAAGCCCATCACAAAAACGTGTCAAGCATCTTTTTCAAGTTCCGTTCACTTGGCACATGTTGCTCATGACATGCTGCTTCAGCAATTCCTAACCTCCGCCGACCATCCTGGCAAATCTGCTGCAAAGCAGCTAGAATTGGCCACCGGGCATTCTGTGCGTTGGGTGCCGAGTCACTGGCGCCCGGTGGTGCAAGCGTCCATTCTGCGGCCACTCCATCCTCTTTCAACATCTCGGTGAGTTCTTGCAGATCTTCGCCCACGCGGTGGTCGATCTCCTCGGTCGCCCCGGTCGCCCCAAGGGTTCGCAGGGTCCGTGCCACCAGCTCGGCCACTCGACCGGAATCCTCCGAGCAAAAGGCGAGAGCTCTGGCTGCCTGGTTGTCACTGGACTCAACTGCCAGGTGCTCCAAATCATTCAGTGCTGAAAGACCCCTCGGGGTGGACTTGCTTGGAAGTGTGGAGTAATCACGCACTGAGTGGTAGGTACTGATAATACTTTCCATCTTCCGCAGCTGAGATTCAATCAAGTTCACCTCTTTCTCCAAGGACATTGCCTTTAACTCTTTCTTCACCGGTTCTTTCACCTCCTTTTGCACTTGCAGTCTGCTCCGAGACCGTCTCCACCCCGAGGCCGAAGCCGAGATGCTGAGTCTCAAGAGGCTCCATGGCGAGCCGCTGAAGCCGTGGAGGCTCCCAGCGCGCTGGGCGTGTGACGGCCCTGGTGCTCCCAAGCGGTTCGGCGGCCACGGCACCGACCGGAGGCCGGGAGGTGCGGGCCGCATGGGGAGGAAACGAGCCAAAGAGACACCAAGGACCTTCAAGGTAGCTCTGAAACGAATGTGTCACAGGAATACGTGCTGTGTGAAAGGAACTGTGAAGGATTTCAGCTCTGAATTGAAAGAATTGGCGGTCAAAGGAAGGACTTGCGAAGCCTCGATATGGTTTTAAGTGTTCATGTCTATGCCGTGCTTTAGAGCACGCCTCACAAGCTTCTGGTGCACGCATTCTGATCAACATTGCTTACGTTAACTGAGCCAAAATGTTCAATCACAAGCAATCACAAACATCAGCGACATAAGTGTGTGCTGCAAAGCAGGGCAAGCGACACTGTGCTTGCTGCTCGTCCCATTCCCAAACTATCTGCAGTTCAAGGCTCCTGGAATTCCCTCTTGATGTGTAAGAACCGGAAGTGGGACTCATCATCCCAGCCTAGAACCGCCCCGGCCCGTCTGCAACCGGTTTCAGTTCTCTTACGGAAGTGCCTTAGTAACAGGTGCCACGCTAGTAACAGGTGCCTTACTAGTAAGGCAAAAGCTATTAGTAACAAGAACTTGGCTACATGTGAGTAACAACTGGCACAGAAGAACCCTTGAATCCTATGGTACTACGGCCTGCTCTGCGCCGACGTAGCTCTTGCAACTCCTGGAGGCGGCACAAATAGAGAGGCTGAAAGGGTGCCAAAAAGCCGCGTATGACAAGGCTCCAGATCAACACCCTGGTGGCCTCAAGGTGTATACCATCTTAGGGTTTTGAACATCTGATACAACTAACACTGGAAATTTAGGAAGTCCTCAGGCCTGTTCCAGCTCGGTCAAAGAAGTTGCCACCTGTACATTGATGTCTTCCAACTCTTTCCGGTAGTCCTGGCTCATGGCTGCTTTTCCCAACAAACACAGGCCAGGCAAACTAATTATAGTACCATGAGACAATTTGATGGATTTGGCTGTTCATTACAACTATCTATTATCTATATATTATATATATATATAGTTATATATATATATCACGGGTTTCAGATGGCAGTGCAATCTCCTTTCCTAGCAAACCTCAAAGGCAAGTCACCGAAGCAACAAAGAGCAACCTTCACCGCAGTGCTGTGAAACCAGCGTACAAAGTTGGAGCTCGAACAAAAGAGGTACCAACGAAGGAGCAAGCCTCCTCTCCATCTCCAATGTCTTGCAGCAAGTTGTCTTCTTCATCGCTCAGATCGCAACGATCCTCCGCAGCCAGGATCTTGCCACTGAGAGAATGAAGATCACCAACAAACATCTATTACAGTATAGCTAAAAAAAGAACACGAGTTCTCAGATCATGAACCCTGTTACAGTATGCCGCATGCTTAAATCCTCACAAGTCCAAGGCTCAATTACTTGGGTCACAATGTTCCTCGCCTCAACGGCGCCGCTGTTGCGCGAGTCGTTCAAGGCATCCAGTTCACAACCTCACAGGGCCCGTGTTGTGTCCTACTCGGTTGCGCCCATGTCCATGCAGGTGTCCTTTTTCTCATGCAGAGCTGGTCCTACTCGGGGATTGATGTTTTCGTTCCAACTTACAGAAATGAACCCTCCTCTTAACTTGCTCAAGAGAAGATTTGGTCAAGCTGATTGCTCCTTGCTGGCCAAGCCCGAAACAAACATTGGTCCATGGATGTGCGTGAAAGAGATCACATCACCCCAGACGCTAAGGTGCCAACGCAGCTTGCTCCGCAGCGAAGCGCAGTCCTCTTCCAATGCGGAGGCCTTGAAACCGACCCTTCGTTTTGGACGACAGGGATGGCTATGTACGTTTGGATTTGGAGCTTCGCCCCAAGAAGCTGGTGTCAGAGTCACCAGCTTTCTGTGAAATGTGTTCCTCAGAAGTTGAGACTCAAGTCTAGCCTTCTTCGCATGCCTGTAACAGGAGGAATGGATGATATCAACTGTGCGCACGTTCTTGGTGACGAAAGGACCCTTTGATCCACCCATACATTGGTCAAGACGTTCAAGAGCACCAAAGAAGAACCGCGAAGAGAAAAACTGAAAAGAAAGAAAAAAAGTCAACAAGAAGCTACTAGGAACAAGTGCCTTACTAGTAGTAACAAGAAGCTAGTAGTAACAAGTGCCTCGCTTCTAATAAAAACAGAACAAATGGGCCACTTCATGCCACTTCCCGGACTCCGAACCTGAGCGCTCCAGTATGGACTCCGCACGGCCATGGCCACGCTGCTCAAGGCATCTTGGAGCTGCAGGGCCTCGACCCGAGGGAGTCCCGAGCATCGGAACTCGAACGAAGGTGGAACCGGATCGCGTTTCTTCGTTGCCAAAAGCAAAAGCATCCGAATGGGAGGAATGGGAAATGATGACAAAAGATCTGAAAGCTGGACTAAATGAAGGAGGGCAGGGACTGTTGATACGATTTGTTGGACTTCCCTTGCTTGAAACTCTCACACGAATGTTTATGAGCTTAATGAGTATGCAGTATTACCATGCTTCCAACTCCGGAGGATCCTAAAAGACGTCTTCCTTCTTTCACGCCTAAGAGTCACTCTGTAAAACAAATCCGTATCTTGATCCCCTCCTCCAAAAAGAATCCAATCCAATATCCATCCGCTGAGGTCTCCAACCTGCTGCGGATTCTCCCGCAGCCGTTGCGGGTCCCGCCGCGAGAGCTGTAAGACCAGCTCTCGCAAGCCGGACACCTGTCGTCCGCAAGCAGCGCAAGCAGCCGGTGGTGACTCAAGGACTCAAAGCCGATCCATAGTGATTTGTTGGATTTCAAGAGAAAAGCCTGGCTTCTGAAAAAGAGTGGGGAGAAGGCCTGGCCTGAGGTCCTCTGTGCCTTCTGAGGCCTCCCATGTTGGGGGCCTTTTGTCATGAGGGAGCTGCATGAGTTGCACCGTCTCTTTACACCAGTATATAAGTTGAAGGCATCCACGAGGCTTGACCTCGTTGGAACAGAGGTTCTTCTCGTGCTCTCAAGGCAAAGCCTCACTACTGAAACTTGCTTATCATACGCAGAGCTCAATGTCTCACAATTGCCCTAAAAGAGCCGTGGCTGCTGTGGCTTGTGTGCTTTCCCCATCTCCGAGACTCGGAGATGTCACCTGAAGCCACACTTCAGCTTTGGAGTGCAACTCCTCCTGTCAAGCACCAAGGAACTTGACATGAAGCAGCAAATGCAGAGACGTGTGAATGTAGCCAGCATGAGCCAACGCTTGAGCTTTCGCTCAAAGTCGCTCTCATCAAATGAAAGCTGACTTCAACGTGATTCTTCGGAGAACGACGTAGGAAGGATGTATACATAGGCACCTCATCTTCTGGCCTGAGGCAGATAGAAGACACAGCAGTTTCCGGCGAGCAATCAGTCTGCCATAAAGAATCTGCCAAAGCTGATTGAAGATGTCTTTTCTCAATCTGATGCTCGAATCGATATTAGTAAAGTTTTTTACATCGAAGCCGTAAAACAGCCAGCAAAGCTCTCTCCTTAGCATTTCAAAGCCCCAAAAAGACATGCTGTTTGCCTGAAACATGCTGAGGCATAGACCAAATTCCAAGCTCCAAGGCAGCATCCTTTAGATCTCCCTGGAGCTGAACCCACATACGTCTGAAAGAAGCGGTCATGGCCACCACAGGGACAAATCCAAATCTGACACCATCGGAAGCTCTTCTCTCAAGATCTCCAACAGCATAAAGAACTGATAACTTCATTCCTGTATCGAAGACCTGAAGGATTTTCACTCCGCTGAGACTTGCAGAGCAAATCAGTCATCCCAATCAGATAGCTGAACTTCCAGTTGAGGATCATACCATCAAAGTTAGCAACCAACTAATTGCGCCATGCCCAGGTCTTGACCCAGTCCACTCGGAGCCTCTAGCCGCCGTGCTTCCCGAGCCAAACCACGAGCCTCGCATCGGGGACTCGGTTCAACAGCTCCAGCCAGAACAGATGAACTACTAAGTAGAAACAAACAAAACCTAAGAGCGATGGCCTCCAACCGAAGAGCGATCACCTCCAACCGAAGAGCGATCACCTCCAAGCGAACAGCGATGGCCTCCAACCCAAGAGCGATGGCCTCCAACCTAAGAGCGATCACCTCCAACAGAAGAGCGATCACCTCAAACCGAAGAGCGATGGTCTCCAACCTAAGAGCGATCACCTCCAACCGAAGAGCGATCGCCTCCAACCGAAGAGCGATGGCCTCCAACCTAAGAGCGATGGTCTCCAACCTAAGAGCGATCACCTCCAACCGAAGAGCGATCACCTCCAACCGAAGAGCAATCACCTCCAACCTAAGAGCGATCACCTCCAACCGAAGAGTGATCACCTCCAACCGAAGAGCGATGGCCTCCAACCCAAGAGCGATGGCCTCCGACCTAAGAGCGATAGCCTCCAACCTAAGAGCGATGGCCTCCAACCTAAGAGCGATGGCCTCCAACCTAAGAGCCATGGCTTCCAACCTAAAGAGCGATGGCCTCCACCCTAAGAGCGATGGCCTCCAACCCAAGAGCGATGGCCTCCAACCCAAGAGCAATGGCCTCCAACCTAGTAACAATGGCCTCCAAGCTAAGAGTGATGGCCTCCAACCTACTAGCGATGTTTCTAAGCAAGTAACATGAATCCATGTCTTGGTGGTTTGGTACATGAATCCATGTCCCTCCAAGCATATGTTTAAAAGTGAATAATTTTCTCATCATAATTGTCATGTCTCTTCTCTTTAGTTTTCAGGGTGTTTAACTTCTTTCCAATGAAGATGGAAGTGGATGGAATGCTCGACTGGAAGACTATGCTCCTTTACGAACCCGTGGTTGTCCACTTCAATGTTTGTCAGAGTGATGCTTACAAAAGACTTGCATTGGCAAAAGTTGTTTTACAAAGGTCATAGTCAGTTCGTCTCGCGAGCAATTCCCCTTCTTGTAGATCTAAAGTTTGCTGACCCTTGCATCGCAACTCAAAGAGTTTCATTCTGGAAACTTTGCGGTGCCAGGCTCTACTACCTATTAATCCTATGTATATTATACCAGCAACCTATATCAACCTACTATTCAATGGATCGATTTTCAGTATCCAACAAGTGTTTTTCGAGCCCTAGCACCCACATCACGCCTGTTCGATCCACTCATGGCGCTGCTGATTGAGCTTTGTCTGCTGCTTATGGCTCTGGGCAGCCTGTCGGCAGTTCAACAGAGAATGATTCTCTGGCGATGTAACGATGTAGGCCTTTTCTGTTCGACCGTGTGGGCCTTCATGGACCTTCTGACCGGTCAAACCTTGTTCCAACACTCTTTGCAGCAAGAAATGGAAGTGGATGGCATCACCTCTTGTCTTCGCAAAATGCTCATCCAAACTCGGGGCCAGGCCCACGGCCCATGAGTTCTTCCAATAACCGCAGACAGACCGTTTAGACCATCTGCCTGTTGGACCTTTCCAAGCTTCTCCAGAATGTCACTCTCTCGCGCGCGAGCAGATTGGAGGGACACCTGCCGCAGATTCCAGGAAGGTGTGCCCAAATGACAGAGGAACCAGGAACGTAGGGTTCCAAACCCGCAAGAACCAAAAAGAACACTAAAGATGACTGCAAAACAAATGCCTTACAAGCCACAAACAAAGAAATACATTGTTCAACTGCAACTTAAAAGTTGTCAGTCAGTGCTTTGCCCTTGATGGAATCTGCCGGGAATATGTGCCTTGGGCATGCAGCGTCCTGATCAATCAGCTTCTGAACCGATTCACCACGAGTGAATTTTAGTAAAAATTGTGAGATCAGGCGTCGCCAGTAGGCAGCGATGGCCATTTCAGTGGCGTCGATCACGAGACTCCACCTACCCGGCGTATCACGGCGATCTCAGCTGGGGACGTGCAGATCAGCAGGCTTGGCATTGAGGGAGCTACATGGTGTCATAAAAGAAACGACGATGAGGATGTGAATCAGATGTCTTGGTCAGTTTTGGATGTGGCTGCTTGGCTTGCTGCACAGGCTCAGATGAGAAATGTAGAAGTCTTGTGACTTGTGAGTGAACATACAAATTGTATCAAATTGTTTGATCTGGTGACGTGGTGGTTGTTTCCTTCTGGCGTTGAGGGATGGCGATTGCGGAAATCAGGAGCTGGTGCACAGGCACAAGCTCAAGCCCGTATGAACTCATACAAAAAAGGACTAGAGCACCATGATTTTCCAGGAAAACCAAAAGCTGCTTGCTCAGCATATGCGGAGCAATTTCAGACTTCTCTCGTTACTACTCTGACCTCTCAAAGGCGCTACCGGTGTGAACCTCGATGGGTGAAACAGCAGCCAGCCACGGAGCAGTTTGCTGCTCTTCCAAAGCAAGAGCTTTATCTACGCATGGAATCTATGGAGCGGAATTCATCTATGGATATATAACAAGAAAACAGAAATCACAATACATGACCTGGGAGTGCGTTGGCTCGCCCATTCCCACGCTCAGCAAATGCCACCTGGAACAGTTGTGCGTCAAAAAGTCCTCATGACTGTGAGCATCGATGCAATTGGACGACTGCAAGCATCCCTACTGTCCCTACTCATCTCACTCGTGGTGTTCCAACAACTTGTTTGTTCAACTCACTTCCTTTGCGCCCTGCCTCCAAGCCAAGCTACTCTGGCGGCGGCTGCTCTGGCTGCTCCGGCTGGTTAGATCCCTGTTGGCCTTCTTTGGTAAAGATCCTTGGCAAGCCACCTTTCTTTCTGGAGACCACTTTGGGGGCTTCAGGCTTGATCTTGCGCCAAGTCTCTGTTCCTTCTTGACCTTCCAACTCTAAGGTCGGTCCATCCGCTGTCTCCACCAGCTTCCCTTGACATAGCTCCTCACCCTCGTTGGAGACCATGACAAACGGCGCGTCGGTCGACTCACCTGCAATCAAACCACTGTGAATGCACACACCAGCCCTGCCGAGTCCTACCCAGCCGTGCCCAGCCTGTCTGAATCCGCATGGTGGCTTCCGGATCTTCTACAAAGCTCACATCCCCGGTGGCTGAGATCACAGCGAAGGTGGTATTGCCTTCACCGTCTTCCATCAGCCATCTGCCCTCGAGAGCAGAGAGCATCGCCCAACGTGAGGTGTCGGCGCCCCGCGTCAGGCATCAGGGGGTTCTCATCCCCATGAGGCTCAAATAAGGCACAAGACATACAGAAACTTGTTTGGCACTACCAGAGACACCAGAGACGACGTGTTTGGCATCGGTCATTTTAGCCGACCGCAAATCCTTTCAAACAACGAAATGGCGATTCCGCCATGTCACAAATGTTGTACGGATTTTGCCTTCGTGTTGTGTGGTGACTGCACAAATGTACTGACTGCACGTAAGCAAAACCTGATCAAAAAGAGCTGCGTACTGTTTTCACGCCAATGCCCACAAGCGCCACTCAATGGGAGCCTTTGTTTACAAGTCTCCCGCACAATGCATCGTACGCATACCTGTGCAAGTATGCCAGTATGCTGTGTTTCCGTGCGCCTATCTGTGCCCTGCAAAGATATGCCTTCAACCAAGAGTTGCCAACAATGGGTCTGTACATATGTCTAATTATGTTCTCCAATCGTGAATACTACATCCTTGCCAAGCCCCATGAAATGCTCCGCGCAGTTGTGAAACATTTCAATCTGAAACACCTAAACGAACTGATCACTATGCAGTTGGTGATGCATTGAAGTCCTGCAAGAACGAACAGACGCAAGATCAAACTCCAAGCTGGACTCCATGACAGAGTTGCTCTACTGCGTTTGCCTCTCACTCACGGTTTGCACCTTTTGCGAGAACCGTTTGTCTGACTTTCGACCAAGTCTCTAAAGCCCGAAAGCAGGAAATGCAAAGGGAAAGAACACGTTGTGAAGACACAAAAAGACACAAAAAAAAAACACCAGTCCTTCGCACCCTCTTTGTGAAGTGCTACTTGGGAAAGGGTAAGTTTCTCTTGCGAAAGTAGCTTGGATTGGCGTAGAAGTCATCTTGGCCTCCTGCCACCACTCGCTCGGTTCCATGTTGGTGAAGGAAGTCTTGGATCTGTTGCCTCGCTCGCTGGAGGGCAAATAACTCACAGGGCAGACATTCGGTGCCCACAGTGAAATCAAAAGACTGCAAAGACAGCTTTAAAACAAGAGAGATAGCTCTGCTTTCTCTGCTGGTCACCAGGCCTTTGCATTTTATCTACTCGTTAAATACTTCTCTCTACTGTTCGTCAGTAAGCTATCGAAATAGGTATGTAATGGCATCTGAAAGGTCTATAGAGTCGGTATAGCTCAGGGCAAAACACCAGTCTCAAAGGCAGTTCTCTAACTGGAAAACATGCCGGTGGACGCACGAGCACTTGTAACTGCAAGCCGACCTGAAAGAACCTCAAAACAGCCTCCAAGACTTTAGGGTTGGCGGCAGCAGAGTTAATCAGAGCTCATCAGGCTCTGCCTCCACAGCTTCATAGGATGCAGTCTCCACTCTGCTCGAGATTCCCATTGTTTTTGGGGCGGTTCACCCAAACAGAGGGATGCAACCTCCCACCCTCATCCTTGAGTGATTGAATCTCCGAGAAAAACATTCGTCTGAGCCCTTTTTCATCTCACCCTCGCCTCTTGGGCATCTCGTTGTTGTGCTCTATAGTGAGAACTCCCAGCTCAAAATGCTCCACACCAGAGCCTTGCAGAATCGCCAGTTCACTTCCCTCTGTGTCCAGGCTCCAATAATCCAAGGTCGTGCGGTTGAGGGCCGCCATCACCTGCACATTGGCAAGCGCGTTAGCTTAGCCAAAAAAGAAGAAGGCACCGGCTTATCAACCTATGTAGCAGGGCCCTGGTGCTAAGTTGAAAGGCAGGTGAAGAAGCACCGTTTCTTGGATTGGAGGCGAGAGAGAAGCGCCTTCGAATTCGAAACGATCCCATGATCTTGTCTAAGGCCTTCGTCATGCTAGCTGATCCCTATGAACGGCCCCGATTGAACGGCCTGGCACCAGCTGAAGTGCCGTCGAGCCTGGCACCCATCTTCCTGGTCTTCCCGCCTGGTACAAGGGGAAGGCACTGACGTTGATCACCTTTCCACTTCCACGACTCCCAGTCATCCAGGGTGCATTGTTCTTGATCTCATGATCAGCACGCCACACATGGGATGAGGCCATCGTGTCCGTAAAGCCACCCAGTGGACCTGCTAACTTGAAAGGGAATTCTCCCTTGTCCTCACAGGGTCCGATTTGTTTGACAGAACACGCAGTGAACATAGAAGACAAGGTAACTTGCAAGGTGGTTGCGGCATCGCTACTAGGAATCCGGGCATCGCTACTAGGAGCAAGGACGCTACTAGTGGCTCCTGGCCTTATTATAACTAGGAACAAGAAGGCTACGTTTGGAGCAAAGGGCATTTAGTAACAAAGTTCTTCGGATTGTTTTGGCATCCTGGGCTGCCCCAGAACGTCCTTAGTGATGGAAAGGCCCGCCGTCAGAAAGTGACACTTGCGGTTCCTGGAACGGACTTCTGGCCAAAGATAGGGATTGGCCTCAACCAGCAAGCAATCCCACTGCCTCTCGGTTTCGAAGAAGATAGAGTTCGAGTGGGAAATGCCATTTAAGGCGCCACTCTCCACTACAAATAGATTTCTCTGTCCACTAAAGACTTTCTCCACCCACTTGTCTTGCCCTGCTTGGCTGTGGAACTTCCCACGTCCAGGCTCATAATTCATAAGCTGTTCATAGGGAAGTTTGGAAGGCGCATCCAAATGCAACCAAATGTCCCTGAGCTCTGCAAGTGTGAGTTGCCCAGGCACAACCAATGCTGCCGCAACAACTGGTCCTGCTGGTGCTGGAGCTGCTGTGGGCGCTGCAGCTGGGGCTGCAGCCACTGCAGCTGGGGCTGTAGGGACGACTGGCACCGGTGTCCTTTTGCCAGGAGCTTTGTCCTGGTGTAGCTGCAATCTTTCCTGCGCGAAGACCACGGCCGGCACAATAGACAGGCCGGAGATGATGCCAAGGATGTAAATCAGCAAGCTTTTCCCAAACTCCATTGGAACATTGAACTACTTGAACATCGCAGTGCTGTCAATCGTTCTTTGAGCATGTGGCTGCCAGAAATTGACTGACTAGTAAATCACGTTGGGTCTGTCCCCGTAGTCATAACAGTCTTCGCTGCAAAGTAGCCGTGCATCCTCACGAAAAGAAACCTTCCAGACTCCACAATTTGGGGAGTGGGATCAGACAAGCAATCCTACAGCTAGTCAAATATACATACTGTAATTCCCATTGCTATTAGGTTGGAGGCCATGGCTAATAGGGTGGGGGCCATGGCTGTGAGGTTGGGGGCCATGGCTCCTAGGTTCGCTCTATTGTTTCTACCAACACCGCACAATGTCAGGATCGTGAGTTCTTCCGTGTATGAGGCACCTGCCAAAAAAACCGTCCGCTTACAAACTCCTGGTCCGGTCTTTTTGCTAGTCACGTCTTGCATCTTCCAAAGAAGCCCTTGTTCCAATCACTTCTGGATCGCTTTTGCTCGCGCCAAGGCTTCTGAGCTTCCATGCAAAGGTTGCATGTGACATTATCCCAAATCTCGTCCCTGTCCACCATGCGGTATTGCGTTCGCCATTCAAAGTACTTGTTGTAGCTAGCATCGTCTGCGTCCAGCTTTAGCAGGTAGTTAGCCAAAGCCTTGTAATCTTTGAAATCATCCACATGGATGAAGGAGCTTCCCGGTACCACCTTCTCATAGTCAGCTCTACTCAAACCACCCCAAGCAATAGGTACCATGCCAAATTGATAACCATGGGTGAACTTTTCAGTGATATACCCGTCACAGCGAGTGTTTTCGAAGGCTGCATAAAACTTGAAGCGGCGTGTGGATGTCTTCAAGCACGAGACGTTGAAACGATTACCGCAAGGATCTTTGAAAGCACCACCACATTTTCCAAACCTCTGGACTTTGGAGGCTGGAAGATATGATGCAAGCTGCTGGAAGACATTGATGCGGTCTTTGGGACCGCAATTGCTCACAAACCACAAGAGCAATTGATCTTTGCCCTCCGCAAAGTTCCTCTTCTCCACCATTCCCGGCTCTTGCAGTGGAGCCAGTTTCATGTGGGGCTTGGCAAAATCGCTTCCAGTCTGAAAGCCAGCGGTCCAATCGATCCCTCTCCCAAGCTCCGCCATCAAGCGCTGCGGCTGGTGCACCGGTGCCTCGAAGTCGTAGTTGGCCACCCAACGCTGCCCGCGAGGCTTCGACGAAGGAGTCGCGCCCATGAACTGGGGAGAGCTCGTCAACCACCGGAGGTTCCACACAATGACATCGGCGCTGCGCCAGAGGCGTGCGTCGCGGGTGACGTGGCACGGCACCGGGCAACTTGGCAGCAGACCGGCGGTGGGCCAACCATAGACAGAACTGATGTAGACCGTCCTTACAGAGCTTTTACTGGGCAGTGCACTGGAACAAGTGGTGGAGACTGTAGTGATTGTAGTGAGATTCGACCTATCAAATGGCCTGAAGTTCTCGATAAAAGGCCGCTCTGCCACTGGAGCAACAGTGGGCTCAAGAAAGGCTGGGCTCTGGGCTCGTCCCGGAAGGGCTTGTAAGCCCACGAACGGCACCGTGCTCTCCGACCAAACGAAGACCACAGCGGGTATACTCCAAGTAGCCAGAACCAATACCAAATGACAACAGCTGCGTTTGGTCCAGTGCACGTCTACCATTCAGCGTGAATTCAACGTGCCTTTGGAAATCATGCCATGGCAACCTGTCAACAAGTATGCGAGAAAATGCCAGAAGAGAGTCACTTGTTGACCTAGAGCGTTCTCTTTTGAGGTGAGTTGTCCCTGCTACTGCAAGTTGATGTGCGGCTGGCCAAATTTGGTGGAACCTTCCGATGGCAAGTGTAGAGATCAAGCCTGAACATCGAACCAATTCCTTGAGTGTCCTTGATCCAGTGCAGGTTCCTCCGTGGCATGGAGAAGCAGATTCAATAATATTACCCCTGGCCCTGTGCTACAAATGCAAGTCCATGAAAGAGACAAATCGGCAACAAACTTCAGGAAGGCTGAATACAGCTTCAGCTTCAGCCTTGAAGGACTCTTGAAGGCATCGGAAACTACAACATCTCCAAGACAACCAACACCCTGAAGCATTGAGATGTGTTGAATGACAGCCCCTCCTGGCCCAATCTGTTCGTTCACCCTGACCTCTCCAACACCTCACCTTTACTACGGCCACACGTGATGCCCTGAGCTGCCCGATTCGCATGGTGAAACTGGCATGGATTCTCCTTTGAGATGGCAGATTGTGCCGATCTTCGATACAGGTCGGTCACAGGTGTTGTGTTTGAACAAAAAGAGCAACTGTGTACTCCCAAATCTCAGGGCCGGACGAACTAAAGAAAAGGCAATCCCACCATTGGGGAACCATTGCAAGCCTCACCTGTCTCCGTCTGCTGATCAATGCTATCTCTGCCGACGGGCACTCAAGTCTCCACGTTCGTGGGGCAAGCTGCGACCGTCTCCCTGCTCTTGGCGAAATGTAGAGAAGCGATCATACCTTCAAAATCGACGCTCGTTCACGGGAAACCACCACAAACATGTCAGAATGAATGAGCAAAGCCCTGCTTTCACAGCAAATGCTTTGCTGAAAGCCCTTGTTTTCTACCCCAAAAGCACCTATTTCGCCTGTGACGTTTCTGGTTTGTCCTCAAGGCGCACCTAGGTCGAAGCTCCTCCGGCAGCTGCCCAGCCCAGGTGGCTTTGTGTGGACAACGGTTTTCTTGGGCACGCCTAGGTGGAAATGCCACGCCCACGTGAAACTCGGAAGAGTAGAACATGTAAAAAAACGTCCGAACCAATGAGATACATGGCACTCAGATATATGCCACAGACGTGACAATTCTCTCGAGAATCGTTTGTCATAGAAGAAACCAAAGCAACTCAGGAAATCTGCTAAGCTGCTGCTCCGTCAGGAGGATGTTCTTCCGGCTGTAGTTTCTCTCCTAGATCAGCAAACTTCTCCTACGACCCGTCCTCCCCTCAAGACTTCATGGGGCTTGCGGTTGGATACCCTCTTACCGTATTATTACGTAAGTCCTCCAGTCTTCCCTTACAGTGGGAAGTCTTCCGACTGAACGTTGAAACTTACTAAATGTCGTTTTGTTTGCCCGGTGATGCACCGACTCATGGGCAAACCTCCATTCTAAGAAGACCCAATCCCCTTGGACACATGATTCAAGTGAGGCTCCTTTCCGCTCTGAAGTTCAGCCAATTGCCGAAACCTTGTGTGCAAAGAACTTCTTGAGCATCACGCTACAAGAGAGATACATATTTGAACAGAAGCAACACAAGTTCACAGCGTCACTCAGAAACAAAGGGCATCTGGAACAAGCATCTTATGCCAGCTTCTAAGGGAGACACACACACATAAACTTAATGACTTTTCTGTGTGCCCCTCAAGGTCAATGCTGCAACTCAATGCAAGGTGAACATTAATAATCGTTTTTACTTAGTCTCCAGCTGCAAGCCAGCCGCAGCACGAACCTCAGCTGATCAGGCTGATCATGGCCTCATTCGTAAATTCGACCTCTCAAGTTTCTGGCATCGGAAAATGACCCTCTGTGAGTATCCGAGTCTCCCCCTGGATACCAGCAACAAGCCCTTCAAAGAGGAGCCAGATCAGCCCTTGACCGGGCCAGATCGGCATGGTCGGCCCCGTGAGTCCAGGGCACTAAACCTGGACGCCGTTCGGGGCTCGGTCAAAGGGACGAGCGGGACGCGGAGCCGGGTTTCCAGCTCCGGCAAATGGCTGTGGGTCAAAACCCGGAGTGTGAAGCTCCATCCGTGCTATATGACATCTTGCAGTGTACGCTTTTAGTGTATGCTGAAGACTTGTTGCTGGGAATCAGTACACCACTTGAGGCCAGGGGGAGGTCGTCGAAAGCTAGCCGAATCGCACCGGATGTACTAGTCACATAGTCGGCAAAGCATGTAGTGAGTACATGTTCTGGGAGGAAGGTTGCTATGTACATACTTTGCGCTAAAGAATGTAAATGTGACATCGCTGACTGGGACTGGGAAGGGTACATTGGAACAACCCGGGTGCACTCGTTGGCAGGCACGAAGATGCGTGATCGGCAAATCTGGGGGGTAAATTTACCCTCCGCTTTTGTATGCCTTGAGGGATAAGCATTTCTGACGTCATACGGACTGTACATACACTAGGGCGTCCGTAGTGTAGGAGAAGCACGGGTAAAAGGTGTATGGAATAGAGTGTCTTGAGGAAATAGCCGTCTTATGGTTATTGCAAATCTGGGGGGTAAATTTACCACCCGCTTATGTATGCCTTGTGCCGGAAAGAGGAGTAAGCATTTCTGGCATCACAAGGACTGTGCAAACACCAGGGCGTCCGTAGTGTAGGATAAGCACTGGTAAAAGGTATAAGGAGCAGAGTGTTTTGAGGAAATAACCGGCTTATGGTTATGGCAAATCTGGGGGGTAAATTTACCCCCCGCTTATGTATGCCTTGAGCCGGAACGAGGGGTAAGCATCACAAGGACTGTGCATACACTAGGGCGTCCGTAGTGCAGGATAATTACTGGTAAAAAGGATGTAAAAGGTATCAGGAATAGAGTGTCTTGAGGAAATAGCCTGTGTATGGTTATAGCAAGCCTTGGGAGTAAATTTACCACCCGCTTATGCATGCACTAGGTTAGAAATAGGGTAAACAACTTGTAAGGGTGAAGTACAAGTCCTATGCAGCAAGCAGCAGCCAGCAGCAGCAGCAGCAGCAGAAGCAGCCGCCTGCAGCCAGCAGCCAGCAGCAACCGCCAAGCAGCCAGCCAGCAGCACCACGCAGCAGCAGCGCAGCACCAAGCCGCAGCAGCAGCAGCAGCACCACCGGCAGAAAGCAGCAAGCAGCAAGCCGCAACAAGTAGCAAAGCATGAACTACCTCAAATGATCTCAAGTATACACGCAACTCATTATCATTATACCTATCAGTTTGTTAACTTCTGCATTGAATGAGCCACTCGAACCAGCAAAACGACGCCAACCCTGGACGGAGGCTGAAGGAACGACGTAGCATGGAGGTGAAATGGAGCGTGCTCACCGTATGCAAACAATTGCACAAACATATGCACACCTTGCCGCTGTCTGAACACCAGCAGAGCTATCACGCAATTCATTCAGTGGAATGGTGGTATGCACCACAACAATAAGCGAAGCGGCGCAGCTGGGAGTTGAACCGCGGGGGGGGGGGTTAGCTTGATATATCAATCTTTAAGGCACGCAGCCCCTCCCACCACAACATTGCTAAAGCAAAGAAAAACTCAGCTAGCATGCTAGCTTTCGTGATAAGTACTGTCAGAGCCGAGCTCGACAGTTCTCCATATGTAAAGACTAGTGAACCAAAGGCCACGCTGTAGCATTTGAAGCTATTTTTGGCAGTGCTTTTGGAGAGGAATGGACGGATCATCCTGTATATCACAAGATCCACAGATCCATTTCCTGACAGTCACCCGACACCAGAAACCAGAGGTCAATCGGGTATGCACTCGTTGCATTGGCTCAAGTGAAAAAAAAGAGCGTGAGCGAGTACAGTTGCTCTTCATGGTAGCGGAGCCATGGCATCTTTACCAGATCCAGGATCTCCTGCAGTTGAAACTGGGACATCAGTTAGCGCTGAACGTTTCCAAGGTTTGGAACAGCAAGTGTCCAGTTTAGCTACCATGGCTAGATCCTTGCAAGATGCTATCGGTTCGTTGGTACCTGCAGTAGAAGCATTGACCACACGTGTGAATACGCCACCACCTGTGTATGATGCACTTGAATCAGGACCACCAGCACCAATGGTTCCTTCACCAGATGGTTTGCAATTGCCCATCCCACCTTCCGGAAGTCCACGAGATAGGAATGTTGATCCGTTGCAAGTTCAGGATCCATGGCAGAATTTCCGTCGTAATGTTCAAGACACGCCTTTCAATAATCCTGACCCAGCAAATGTCAATCTTCCTCCACCAGGGATGCAGCAGTCACCAACCGCACTTCGAGATGCTGTTGAAGTGTACAAGGGAAAGGAAGATCTGAATCCTTTCCGACGAAGTGAGAAATGGATGCCAGCTTATCCAGTTCCCCAACATGACAAATGGACTACACGACCAGAAGAAGTAGAGGGGTTCATTAGCTACATCCAAGAGCTAGCTTCATGGGCTGGATTAGGAGACAATGAATGGCCACGAGAGATCCTTTGGTCCCTTCGAAGTCCATCAGTGATTACCTGGAATCAGATGAACGCAGCACAGATTACCAGGTCCACTCGGTTACTTTCGATTTTAAAGCAAGTGTTTTCCGGTCATGCTAGGGCGAGCTTGATTTTGGGAAACTATGAATCGTCACAAAACCGTATGAACTGTTGTGGCTATGAGGGAGTTCGTTTGCTTTCACGAGAGTTTGGAATCAAGACCAGGACAGAATTGTTGTTCTTTCGCAATCGAATCACCAGTGGAACTTTCAAGTGTGCCACCATCCCCGAGACCGTTCAACAGATCCAGCATGAGTTGTTTAAGTTTGCACGCATTCAGCAATTGGTTGATCCAAGTGTGAACAGTCAACAACTGGAAATCATGGAAGCTGACCAGATTTTGATTCTTCTTCGATCGTTGCCAGATGCTTGTCGTCAATGGCTTGTTCTCAATGTTGTGCAGGAAAGCTTTCAGGCATACTCAGATGCAGCTCTGAGATACGAAGCACAGCAGAGAGCATGGTCAGAGTTGAACCACAAGCCCATTGCACCGTTCAAGGAGAAAGGTAAAGGCAAAGGTGACAAAGGCAAAAGCAAAGGTAAAGGTAAGAGCAAGAATAATGAGAACCAGACCGAGAAGACTGAGACCCGTTCGTGCTTTGAATGTGGAAAAACAGGCCACCTTTCCAGAGATTGCCCCCAGAGATTGCAGAAGTCGATTGATGGCAAGAGCAAAGGCAAAGGAAAAGGTAAAGATAAAGGAAAAGGCAAATCCAAAGGTAAGAAAGGTAAGCGGGCAGCAGAGTTTTCCGAATCAGATGCCTCGTATGATGCATATGAAGATGATGATGCATGGTCAGAAGCAGATGAAGGAGGTCGTCTTGCAACGTTGATTGTAGGAACTCAGACATGTGCCAAGGTTGAACCAAAAGAGAAGAAGTCGAGCACATTGTTTGGACGATGGTTTCGCTGCATGTTC